ATGCGCGGATGAGCTCAAACTTCACCCGAGTCCGCTGCTTCAAATTATCCGCCCACACCTATATTTGATCGTCACATAACAATGATTCTAATTCTTAGTTTTGCATGATGATATGATGAATGGATGGTTCATGTTTAACAGCAGATTCAGTGACGTTAAGAGACTAGAGCTGATCTGCGCATCCCAGCACGCATCTGCGGCGCATTAAAGCCTTTGTTACGGCCACCGGAGCTGATCGCGGCCACTCAGTCAATGCTGGTGTTTATACCGGCCACGAACTCATGCTTATCACATCACACCGCTTGCATCCGGTGTAGAATAGAACCCATTATAATCAGTGATGTTGTCACTGGATGCAGTAAACTGATGACACAAAGTTCAAATGATTGGCACCGGTCGCTTTGTCGCGCGTCCTGTTGCGGCGCAGACACGTTGTCAGCATAGTTTGTCAGTACAGTCAGTAATGTAGCAGATTGAAAAGTTAGTATGTTTCTGCAGCCCAATAGACGGCAGTGCGGTGGTGGCACAATGTTTGTCGAACAATGATTTAACGCTACGTTGTCACCTACTTGGAGAGACTCAACGCTAAGTAAATAAACAACATGTCCCTGTCTTTTACTCTCACAATGAGTTTATCATATTCGTTTGCTACATTAGTAGGGCTCTACGATTTCCGTGATGCAGAAAACATAGGACGAATCGTAGAATCCAGTCATAAAAACGGAATTTACTGTATAACGCAGACTTTCATGGAATGTCTTATTTTGATGAATAAATAAAAAACAGGTCAGTACATATATATATATATATATATAGACTGTGTCTGTGAATATTAAACTGCAAAAAGACTTATTTAAATGCGAATCCTCATGTTCTGCATGTTCATTTGATTACCAGAAAATAGGGCTGAGCAAAAAATCAAATGCGATTTTTTGATGGGAAGTGTGGGAAACGAATGGGAAGTGTGTCCAAACTTTTGACAATACTGTACTATAATATAGCCTACACAAAGAATATCGGCCGATATATCGATATCGGTCTTTCTTTACTCCCCAATATCGGTATCGGCATCAGGACCCCCAAAAAACCCATATCGGTCGGGCTCTAATATTTACTATTTTTACACCCCCGAGGCTTTTAAATTAATTGTGAATCTAAAATATGTGTGTTAGAGAATGTACAAATGGTCAGAAAAGCAGTTCTGGGCTTTTTAAAAATTTGTTTAGCTAACTTAGTTGTTATTCTTGGCTGAATAACTCTAGAAGGTTTTCAAAAGCCCTTTAGAATTAAATATGTACTAGGGCTGCACGATAAATCGCATGCGATATTTAATGCGCATTTTGTCAGTAAAGCCGGTTCTGTAATCAGCGGTAAATCCCTCAAACACTAAACCAACAAACACCACCTTAAACCCTCAAACGCTAA